ATTCTAAAACAAAATGACATCAAGTTAATAGACTAATAAATATTTTCGTTCCATCATTTTCATAAGAAATTAGGAGGTGTAACACTAAGATACTGATTAAGTTAATACTTATTAGCAATTGTTTTTGCGGCTATATCAATTATATTATTTAAAAAAAAAATCTAAACTATATCTTGTATGCCCTCTGTTTCCGTAATCACCTCCTACTTTTTTCTTCATTTATCCAGCAGTATCAATACTTCCACTTCCCATAACCTGCGAAATAAGAAAGACCACAAGGAATAAGAAATTGAGTTGTGATATCACTTTAGAAAGTTTATTTTTCTCCCAATTAGATTTAGCTAGAAACTTTAATAAAATCGTATCAAAATAATCTATTTATCAAAATTCGGTTAGTTTTCGTCCTTAACCTTCGCCCCTTGCTTCCTGTTCCTTTTTAACAATCTTGACAATTATTTTGTTGGCCCAAACAAATCTACTAATTATTATTATTATTATTATTATTATTTATATTGGTTGCATAATGAAACAAAAGGTAACTTTATCTCATTTCGTATCCTACTTCACCTGCATGTCATGTAACTCGAATTTAAGATTTTTTACTTTCAATAAAAAGAGATTATTACTAAATTACTTAAGTCGTTATCAGTTACTAATTAATTTTCTAAACAATTGATAATACCTCTTTTCAATATTCTAATCACCACATTTGATTATACGGTAAAAGTGTGTTAAAAAACTTACAGAACTTTGACATATACCTATAATGATTAATGAGTGATAGTTATTGTCACACAAAAAAATTTTAAAGTTACACAGAAATTTTAAAATCACACAAAAATAATAGAAGTGTATTAGATTTGACAATTACAAATAACTAAAATTGTAAATATTAGCTGATATTTAATAAAATAATTAATATATATTATTTAATAATTTAAAATTAATATATAATATAATAATTTAAACACTTAAATAATTATAAATTAATAAAATCAAACAAGTTTAAATGATTTATAATATTTTGTGTGGCCATAGCATGAGCCCCTTAATTTTATGCACTACTTTTTGCAGCTTCTAGATCTATTAGACAGAAAATAATCTTTAATTCTAAAACAAAATGACATCAAGTTAATAGACTAATAAATATTGTCGTTCCATCATTTTCATAAGAAATTAGGAGGTGTAACACTAAGATACTGGTTAAGTTAATACTTGTTAGCAATTGTTTTTGCGGCTATATCAATTATATTATTTTTTTTAAAAAATAAATGATTTAAATATATGAAAAATCAATTCATGGTATAATAATAATAATAATAATAATAATAATAATAATAATAATAATAATAATAATGTAGTTTTTTTTATCATACTTGGGCCAGTGTGACGGCCGCCGTTTGCTCAAAATCACAATCGTACTGGTGTTTGCCGGTGGACTGATGGTATGCATTCATGGTGTATGCCATGTGGCCTTGAACGGTGTTCGGGAAGAAGCACGCGCCGCCTTCTTGAATCGGCGAACAGTCCACACCCAGGCTACACACGTAATCAATATTCCTTTGCAGAGCACCTGTGTCCACTCCTTCCTTCGTCAGACACCATCGTTTGCCCCGCCGGCGCTGGATTCATCGGAATCAACGATCTAGCCTGTGCAAAACCCACTAACATTAGATTCCTAATTTTAAGATTAACCCATAATTTCAGATGATATCCGGATATAGTTTCACCGTGATTATTAAGAATTAGAACGCCCACTGAAATGGCTAACAAACATATAACATGGTGAAGATTGGGATTGGCGGCTGCGGCTGCCGTTGACCGGAGGATGCCGATATCATAGACAGGCGTCATGTTGGGCTGGAACAATCCGAAATTTCTCTCCCAAGTTGGCCCTGGTTTCAGATCCTCATTGAACAGTGAAAAGATGTAGGTTTCAAAAGTCCGGTTGGGCATGAGCGGCGTACCAACACCGGATTGGACGTGCCGCATCAGATTGCCGTTATACTCGGCGGCGCTATTTGCGTCGACACCAATTTGGTCTGAATCCCCCAGCGAGGGCCATCCTGTTTCGGCTATGACGATCTCAAGATCGTCGAATCCAAGGAGCTTCATCGCGGAGTAAACGGCATCCAATTGGGCATCAAGCATGTTCGTGTAAAGCAGCTTCGTATTTTCGTCGAACACTCCCGAATTAGGCCTGAACAGCGCGTAATCAAGCGTGTCGGTGGAGCATTCGAAAAACGGATACGGGTTCACCATGAACGGAGAATTCGTAGCTCTGTGGAAGCTGAGAAGTGGTTTCAACACATGGGTATCGTAGCCCTGCCGAAAATTACCGTTGGATGGAGGACTTGAGGCCGAGAGAATACCGAGCGAGTGAGGAGTGGAAATTTGAATCCTGCGGTCTAGTGACGCTCCAACAAGGGCCGTTTGAAGGGTTTGCATCGCCGGAACAAGGCCAACGATGAGCGATTTATTGGCAGTGGACAGCACTTCGTTGCCCACCAAAATGCGTACTACGTTAGTGGCTGGAATGTAAGGCTGGACGTAGTCTTCCAGCCATTGTTGTGCGAAGGACAGATTGGTTAGGTTGGGGATATGGTGATTAGGGACGGTGACGGTAAGGGCAATGCCAGTGTGTGCAAAAGCCTCTAAGATATCCGGCTCAGCGTCGAAGAGCCTTACCCGGTTGATTATGGTGGAGTCTTGGAGGAAATGTGCTACTTTACTTGGAGGAGGAAGATTGTCTGCCAGCGTGCCATAGTTTACTCCAATTGTTCCTTCAACTCCTAAGATAACATACGAACGCAATGGTTAGTAACATATAATACGTATTAATTGATAATCTTGTGTTTTAATTAACCATGTACCTTTTGTTAATACTGATGCAAGGAGAAGGAAGGTTGCTGTGATGAGTATTGAAAAGAAAGAAGGGGATGATTTCGCCATGAGTGCTTTGGTGGGTTTGGGAAGAGTGAATATGGTACATGTTGGTGGTAATGGGTATGGCTGAAGAAGGGAAGTTTGAGATGCTTTTCTTTGAGAAGTAAGTCAAGTGCGAACTTTACCATTGGTGCTTGCTTTAGTTTTGTTAGATCTTTGAATCTTTGCATGCTTTTCCTTTGAATATGTTTCAAGTTTCAAACAGGTCTTGTTTGCAATGTGAAGAAACCTGAGCCAAAATCGTTTCATATGTGGGTGGGCTTGGGATCTTGCTTTAGTTGATCCAATAAAGAACTTGTCTTTTCTTCAATGCTGGACAAGGTATACATGTGGAAAGGCTTGACCTGATGAAAATTTTTAAACTGATCCCATAGAGTCTCAGGCCCAGTTCAGATGAAACTTCCTTACAATCAGGAAGTGAACGAGCCTGCATTAGGGCTAGGAAGACTTTAGGCAAGTTGAAACTAACTTAAGAACCTTGCAAGTCCCTGAGGCAAATTAATTTGTAGCAGTTAAAACAGTTTATAGAGTGTTTAAATTGTTTCATTCTCTTGATTCATGACAAGAGAGGATTTCTCTATTTATATTTGTATATACAAGGCTGTACAAGGAAATAAATCATGGTAATAATTGAAACAATAGAAAATAAAGAAATAATTGATGCAAGGCTTGATTATTGAATCATGCTACCATTGCCACTTTATTTTAATCTTGATATGGAAGACCTTGATTGAGCTGTGATTGTTGACTTGATGATTCTTCATTATTCTCATTAGCAGTGAATAAATTCTTGGCATGAAATTTGTTTCAGATGTGGGTCGGCTTGGGATCTTGCTTTGGTTGATCCAATCACCCAATAAAGAACATGTCTTTCCTTCAATGTTGGACAAGGTATATATGCGGAAAGGCTTGATTATGAAGTTCACTTGGTATCTACTTTATGTTCTAAGTGGGTTGTAAACTAATCAAGTCAAGCCCAATTTGAGTTCAAGTTGGGTAGCTCATTGAGCTCATCTATAACCCTACTCACAAGTCACAAACATGGGGCCACTTTAACTGCTAAATCCCTAAGTGCTCAATAGTAAAAGACAGTTATTGATAAGAAAGATGCATATTAATAGAGTTAATAAAGTATTTCTAGTAGTTATATCAAAGATTTGGGTTTATCAAGAAGGGTATGATATAAAAGGATATTTCAATAGTTAAAATTATGAATTACAATGTTAGAGATTTCAAATTTAAATTTAAAAATTGATTAAAAATGTAAAAAAAAAAAGAAATAATTATTTTTTATAATGGTATATCTCATCATTTTATATAGAATTTTACCAAAAAAATTATTTTATATAGAAAAAATTAATTATTTAATTAAGAGAATGTTACTTTCTCGTTTAATAAGCCAAGAATCTTCTACATATTAAAAGGAAAGGTTGTTGAGCTGTCTTCAAATCACCTTTTCCACATTGTGACACTTCCACCAAAATAGACATTCAACAACAAATCAAGGCTGAATTTTCCCTCCCTGGACTTCAGCTATTGGTCTTCAACTAACAAAAATAGCAATTTTATTGTCTTATTTTTTTACAATGATGCTATAATTATAATATTAAATAAAATTATAAATTTATAATTATAATATAATATTAAATAAATATAATTATAATTATAATTATAATATAATATTAAATAAATATAATATAATTATAATTATAATATAATATTAAATAAATATAACGTAATATTATAACAAAGAACAGCAATCAAAAGAACATACATTCAACCGGCAGGTGGAGTAGAGAATTTGTTTTTCCCAATTTTTCCAATCATGCGGCAGTAATTGTTCATATCAAGGTTGTCAAATTGCCGACCGCCCAAAAAAAAGGTCACCGACCGCGTAAGAAATGTATAAAGTGGAATTTGTGTCTATTGATGAAATGACATGTCGAATCTATCCTGATTTTTTTTATAAAAACAACTTTTCTATATAATAAATCACCTATACTAATCATGATTGACTTCAATTAGAATTATATTTTTTTAATCTAAATTACATGTTGATTGAGTGATAAAAGTATTTAAATCTCTTTAATAAATAAAATTTATTAAAGCTGATAGAATATTTATATAACATAAATTGTACTTATTTTCTGTAGTTTAAATTAAATTATTTTTTTATAAAATAAAATTTATAAATATTAAAGTGTTGCAAGAGAATATGTAAAATATAAATGATTTCTTTAAATCTTTATAAAATTCATAAACGACTGTAATTCTATAATTTTATATTCAACTTAATAAGCAACTCAAATTAATTCCAAAAATCTCGAATCACCATACGAACTCATGTAATTTAATTAAACGTAAATTATACTGAACGGTGAGCCCATCATAACTTCTTTCCTAAATAGAAGAGGAAACAAATCCCACTCAATTAATTATAATAAAAAATTGAAGTTTGTACAATCACAGCCAAATCAAAGTTAACTTTTGAAAATTAGGAATATCAAAACAGAAATCTCGATTTTCCTCATATGAAGATTTACTTCTTATTTGGCCCTCGACGCCACCAGTGTTCTTCATCGATTAAGCTCTACCACAGCCATAACCATTCTTGAAGGCTCTGTCGGTCTGTCCCCCCAGGCATGCACCAGAAATCATTCTCAACTTCAATACCCCTTCCATGCAAAATAATAAATGCTTTAATTGAGAAAATCTTGTTTTCACCTAGCTACTACACAGAGAGTGCAAGGATTACTCCAATCAATTACTGAAACATTATAATATAGACTGCAGTTGCATTACAAATTCATGGATCCATTGAGACATAATCCTGACCAGAAAATAACATACTAGGGATCATAAAAGCTTGGTAAGGGAAAAATCAAAACCATATCAGGGCAATATTCCCTTGCATGCTTGGCTTAGGGGCCGTATACCAACAGTCTTGAGATAATTCAGGCCACACCTTTGCTTTAATCAAAAGAGAGGAAAATAATTAGTATACATTTGATTAGATATATATTTTTTAACACTTATTTGGTTTTGTCATTAAAATACAATATAAGTAAAACTGATTCAGTTGGTTCTCAAATCATGTGTTTATAGTTAGTTGTATTTTTAAATTTATTTATCTTTAATTTTAAGTTAAAAATAATAATTTTTAATAAATATATTATATAGTGTGTTGAATCTGAATATATACCAATTAATGTTTTCAAAGAATCGATCAAAACTTGTAGAAGTTGTTCTTAAAGTTATGCGAATATCAACCCTTATTTATTTGATGATGGAAAATAGAAGAGAAAGCTGCCATCGAAATCCTACAAAAAGAAAATTATAAGAGAGACATTACCAAGATCTATTCATGTTGAGATGAACTGCGGAAAAAATAAATAGACTATTTGTTTTTTGCTCGTATTGAGAGTTGTTGGGATTTGAACTCTCTACCTTAAACTCAAATTACCAAGTTCTTTATATTAATAAGTATTAATTCAGTAAAATTTTTATTGATAGAAAAAAAATATTGACTATAGATACCTACGTTTAATTAATTTTTCTAAAGAAAAATAAAAATATATGATGATACAAATATATCAAAAAGTGTTTTTTAGTTTGAATTACACTTTTATTATAATATAAATTTATCAAAATTTCCTTAATAAAACTCTTCCCTTTGTTAATGACATTTTAATAATTTTAAAAACCAAATTATATTTTTAATATGTAATCTCATCTAAAAAACAGGAATCTCAAAAATATATTTAGAAAGGCAGCCATAACAGAAGAACAAAGATATGTATATGTTAAGTTATCATCGCATGCAAGTAATTATGAAAACAGATCATGAATCCGGAAGCCCAGTTTGCACTACCAAACCTAACTGTTAACAATGATTTAATAATCAAATCAAGCACATTTTAATGGAGTGGATTTCCTTTTCTTTTCTTTTCCTTTTTTTTTTTTTTTTTTTTGAAGGGCATGGAGTGGATTTCTACTAAGATTATTCAACTAAGATGCAAGTAGAACTCGACAAAACCTTTTCTAGTTACCATATTAAATACCAACAAGAGTAGTGTAAAACAGCTAACTTCATATGTATCAAATATGCCTAGGCAGTTTCTTCTTAGGCAGTTTCTTCTTTAAAAACACCCATTTTAGATTTTACAATACAATTACTTCCCAATTCCAAATATATACGGAAAAGTATCCATATACCTTACTTTTTAAAAATTAAGAAAAAAAATTATAAATATATAAAATTGGATCTACATATGTACACTTTGCAGTTTATCTTTAATAGTAAGAAACTAAAGCCAAGAAGCCAGACGAAGGGGCAAGAAATCTTACCTCTTGCTGAATCTTCTATGAATCCAAAGAATGTGGAAAAGAGAAATTAAGGCGAACAAACTTCCCACTCCTAACATTGCTTGCTCAAATGAGCATCTCAAAAAGCAGGTGCATCATGCATCCACAACAAAAAAACAGAGAACAAAAACTTACAGACAGAAATCTGCTGTTAATTTCCACAACAGTTTTACCCTATGAATTGTGGGGTTGTACTTCGCACCCACTCAACATTTCTTTTGCATATTAAAAAATTCCAACAGCTGGGTTTGCTGTTGAGGAAATTAACATTGTGTTAAAGTAGCAAAAGCTGTTGTGGAAATAGGGTCTCGAGAAAATATATATATATATATATATATATATATAGATGGAATTAATTGGGCAGGTGCAGCTCTGCTGGAATTTGGAATACTCATTTGAGCAAGAAAGGTTACAAAGAAGAATTAGCTTCTCTTTCTACGTTTCTTATGGTCGGATCTTGATTCATATATTCTCCCACGAGATCTCTGCAACTGTTGCTTCTAGGTATAAATAGAAGCCCCACCGCTGAATTTACCTAACACCCCACAATTACAAGACAAAGAGATAATTTCTTCTTTCCTATTTTCCCACCACACACGTGTTATCATGACTCGAATGTCGAATCTAAGAACATTAGAGGATCGTAATGGACCATATGACTTGAAATTCAACTACTACCCCAATAAATGCTAACTAAGGTTAGTTTGTTCTAAGGATAGTTTGGGAAATCGAATAAGATTGATTTGAGAGATTGAAAAACAAAAGGAATTATAGGAGAGAGAGAGAGAGAGAGAGAGAGAG